GTTGTCAGCACCTTGTCTGTATGCGTGCGTGTTTCTTCACCCTGTGCTGTGTTAATGTTCGTTGTATACTGACTAATCAACACCACGGACCCTGCCCCACGGATTTTAAATTGTGGCATCGACTCTCGTTGGCAAACAGGCCCCGGTGAGAGAAGTGTTACATATACATTCAACATGCTGCTTGTGTAATTATGCATGCCCTAATGCTCAGACTAGTACCATGAGCCACATTATTAGAAGACTGTATGAAGTACATTATGGTGTAACAATAGGTTACAGTTAAGCTTATCTGAGTAACTAATTTGATTTTAAATGACAGACACAGACACTCAGTGATTGATAGGAATATATGTCATTAACAATTCCTTGTTCTTTTTTACCTTCAGCAAAATGGCAGGGTATTTGTTCTTGGAACCGCTGACACCGAAGTATCTCTGTACATTATGTAAACAAGTTCTCAGAGATCCTGTACAAACAACTTGCGGGCACCGTTACTGTCGATCCTGCATTGACGACTTTATTAAGTATGAACTATTTAATATTTTTTTATTTAAAATTTCACATTTGCATGGGTTTCAATTACATGTCTATAGTACACATGTTACTGTACAACCTTTTCAAATTTCATTTTACAATTTAAATTGTCATTTCATCTTTTACGTTTTTATTTGCAATAACAGCACCTATTTTCACTTGTCAAAGCTCTCCATTTCATTAAATTATAGGATTTGAAAGTGAATTATTTATTTTTATAGTCGTCCAGGAACCCAGAGATGCTTTGAGTGTGCAGGTGAAGATGATCCAGACAACATCATCACTGCTGATCAGGTAAATTATTTATAAAAACGTACTTTCAAACGATTTATTTTCATTTGAAATTGGTGTGTGTACATACTCTGGGATAGTGCGCAGACCTGATTAGTTATTGGTTGAAATCTGCGCGTATTGATTAGCCAATTTTTAGCTTTTCCACCAATATTTCAACCACTCATCTGATTTCAATGAAACTTAGTACATAGATGCTACGATAAGCCATATATACATGTTCAGTTTAGGGTTGTGTTTTGTGTTTACATAATTTGTGTCAATTAACAGCTAACTCGAAGTACTGCTCATCAAATTATGCTTTTGGATATTCCACAGATCTGATTACTTTCGTGTTGAAATCCATGCATATTACATAAATAGTTTCATGCGTTCTCCTTAATATGCCTAACTGTTATGTACTAAGCACTGTTGCTGATAGTGACTTGAAACCAGTGCTGTAATAAAGGCATTGGACTAGAGATATGACTTAATATATCAGATGACTATATATGGTCATGTGATTGTGACTTCAATATTATGCATAATTGTAATATCTTAAGTACTGTTGCTAATAGGGAAATGCAACTGTTGCTATGGTTTTGCTATCGGAAAAGATACATGACCAAGATGTCTAGTCATTATATATGGTAATGATTTCATTGAATATGTATAATTGTTATACCATAGGCACTTAGAACCACCCTGATCACTGTTTGCAGTTACATTTTTAAAAAACAAATTTACTCTATTAAAGCACATGTGCTTAGTGTAAATACATAAATGACAATTCAAGTGTATGGTCAAAATAAGATTTTAGATGCAATAAACATAATTTTTGCTCTGTGTGTATTGAAGACGTGTTTCTAATATAGTAAATACAGTATTCCTTATTTTCCACCAACACCTTCAGCACACATGAGTTTTTTCTAAGCTTTTATTGATATCAGTTTTCATAGGGGTCTGTGGGAGGTTCTCTGCAATACAAAATAGGAATGAAACATTAAGAAGTAATAATTTCTTAATCTTGATATTTTTTTTCAGATTTTTCCAGACAATGCTACTAAAAGAGAAATACAGTGCCTAGAGGTGAAATGTAGTCTGCCTTCTTGTACGTGGAAAGGTTCCTTCAAAGATTATGAGGTACGTACATACTTATTTTACCAGTTTAAGGTGATAATTCATTTGTTTTAACCTTTGAATGTTGTATTGTTTTTTCACAAAAATGTTTGACATTCCTGAGTCAGGCCTATAAGGCTAAGGCCAACTCCAAGTGTTGATGCTGTCTTTTCAGACAGACCCCCCCAGTATATCTCTGCTTGCCATTTGCCATCAAGCTTATGTCTTGTTGCATTTCATTCCACTGACTTTCCAAATCCCATAGGCACTGTTCTTTTCTAAATGTCAATTACTAAAAATAAATTTTCGCAGGTTTAGTCATTTTAGAACAATGGTAAAAATGTAGAAAATGGCATAGCAAAATGAATAATTATAAATTAGTAAATTTTCCAAATGATCTTTGAATATGATGATGTTTTGGTTGCTTAGCCTGTGCTAAGTGTTCACGCATGCTTCGTTAGCTCGTGCTAAGACTCTGAATCGGGTCTTAAAAACAGGTCAAAATTAATCCGTCTTATTGTTTCTCAGCCCGTGCTAAGCATTCACGCAATAGCTTCTTTCAAGAAAAATGATCAGTGACATGGTTTGGTCGCCTAAATTTTAAATTTTCTCTAACAATGGCAAACATTTCGGGCATTTTTTTCTCAAGAGTGCTTTAACCGATCAACTGGATATATATGGCAATTGCTTCTTTCAAGAAAAATATAATAAATTTTTATCAGTGACACGGTTTTTCCATCTTCGATTTTGGCCATAAATGGCTACAATTTGGGGCATATGTTTCTCATGTTTTAACCAATCAATTTTGATACTTTACTTAGCAATTATGACCAAAACATTTACAAAGAAAAATAACATAAACAAAATACATATAAGCCAGCAAAGCTTTAGTTAGGTCTCATAAGTGTAAGTATACTTTAGAGTATCACAGTTGCTCTGCTGATTTTTATTTTTTATCCTGTGATTGATATTCTAGGAAAGAGGTCACAATGGACATGTTATGGTAGGATCTGCTGACCAAGATGGTGCCACTCAAATAGATCCAGATGTACCAACCACGTCCCAAAAAATAAAGACTGAAACAGCTCAGAAGGTGGGGCGAGAGGAAGTGAAATCGACAAGTGGTATGCATACTACTATTAATAAGCAGTCTCGCTCAATTGATGAGTTGAAGGTCAAGACCGCCACACTCAACACCGAGGTATCGAAATATGAAAGGATTGTTGCTGGACTCTACCGTCAGATTGAGAGAAATGCTAATGATGTACAGGCCATTGAGAGAAAACTGAAACAAGACCGAGATCTGGTGGAATCCTTAGAGAGGAAAATCAAGTTTCAAGACCGTATCATCGCACTGAAAGATGTTGCCTTAGCTGAGCAAGATCTAAGAATTCAGTCTCTGGAGTTGGCATCTTACGATGGTGTGCTGGTTTGGAAAATCACCGACTTCAATCGAAAAAGAAATGATGCCTTATCTGGCCGTACTACATCCATTTACTCACCGTGCTTCTTCACCAGTTGCCATGGTTACAAGATGTGTGCCCGTGTATATCTGAATGGAGATGGAATGGGCAAGGGCAACCATATCTCATTGTTCTTTGTCATCATGAGGGGTTCATTTGATGCGCTGTTAAGATGGCCATTCAGACAAAAGGTAAGGGTATATTCATGCATTTTATCCAACTACTTCCAGCAAAATACACAATTTGGTGATGACTAGTGATTTGTGTAAAATACATATGCCTTATTTGCTCTGTCAGTATCATCTGTGTAGAATAATTACAGATATGTGACTATGATAAAAAAAATGATGGTAAGCATATGATAAATCTATTTTTTTTTTTGTTTATGTGCACTGCAAGTAAATATCAGACACTGTCCATCTGATTCAATGGAAATTTCAAATTGGGTATTTCTTGTATAAACCACAGTCACTCTCCTAGTAGAGTGACTGTGTATAAACTATACAAATAAATAACTGTTACATTGTTCATATCATTGTCGATAAAGGTCAAGGTATTTGAGAGGAAAATATCTGTTCTCAATGTTATTGTCATAAAAATTCTTTTTGTAGTTACTGTACTGTACTCAAACTGTTTTTATTTGATTTATTCAAAACGTTGGTATTAACCATGCAGTATAGTATGTGTTCAAAATATTCTTGGTTAAACTTCACTCAAAATTGTCTTATTTCTGTGGTTTAAACAATTTATCTGATCATCTTCAAATTTGGAAATCTATCAATCAATATAAAATGTCAATCAAGTTCAATTTTGGTGTGACTTAACCAAGTTCAGTTTTCAAGATAGAGGGCAACATTTTGGCTGAAATAAAACATTTTTTAGGCACAGAAATATGTGAAATGAAGATTTGTATCATTAGTTAAGATCAATACATCCATTTGTCATTTGATGAAGATTATCAATGGGCAAGGTTTAACTCTGAAGGTAGTATATGTTAGAAATCAGTCACATGTTTTAATATTTATCATGTGCGAAGTACTAATTACCTAATTTGCATAATAATTAACAAGTTTTTGACTCCTGTGTTACAAAGCATGCAATGGAATTAGTGTGTGGCTGTCAGTCTTTTCCACTGATATCTCAAGCTTTTTGATGAAACTTGATATATAAATGCTCTGGGCTAATGTGTAGATTTGATTAGGTTTTGGTTTAAATCCATGCATGTTCTGGAACAATGTGCAAACCTGATTAGTTTTCAGTCAAAATCTGTTCATATTAATTACCTAATTTGCATAATTAGTCAATGTTTGGCTTACCTAATTAAACAATTTTTGATATCTCAGAAATTAAATCAGACTGCAAACCGCAGATGTACATGCAAATTTATTTTCTTATAAAATTATTCATTTATTATAAAGTTCAATACAGTGGATCACACTGTTTTCACATTGTGTATCTCAAATAGCAGACTTACATTAGTCGTCAAGCTCAACGATTGAAGGGCTATTCTTAAATATCCAATTAATTTCAAATTATTCCCTATTTTTATTTTATATTCCTTCGATACTCTCAGTCCAGGGAGTTCATTCTAAGCTTTATTTGTTTACATTTTTATAATAACAATAATTTTGTCCTCCTAGGTCACTTTCATGATTATGGATCAAAACAACCAAGAACATGTCATTGATGCATTTCGTCCGGACCCTACATCAAATTCCTTCAAGCGTCCTACTGGTGACATGAATATTGCCAGCGGCTGCCCTTTATTCATGCCTCTGTCTCAACTGGACAGCAGTCGTCATGCTTACGTAAAAGATGATTGTATGTTTATCAAGGTGATTGTAGACACTACAGATTTAGATATGAAATGGCTCTTGTGAACTAGTCCGAGCAGTTTTATCCTTCTGGATTTATCTGCAGCCTTCGATACAATTGACCATGATATACTTCTGACAAGTCTGTTCAACCTTGACATTACTGATACCTCACTTCTCTGGTTCACTTCTTATCTGAAGGATCGTCATCAGCGTGTTTCCACCAATGATAGTCTCTCTGCTTCTCATGTACCTGGTACTTAAAACCGGAGTTCCCCAAGTGTCTGTTCTAGGACCTCCGCTATTCTCCATTTATATATCACACTAGATCAACTTATTCATCGTCATAGTGTTAATTTCCATCAGTATGCTGATGACAACCAACTCTACCTCGCCTTCTCATTCTCTGATACACCGTCTTCAGTCAGCATACTTGAAAGTACAGCTCATGACATTAAATCATGGATGTAATGCAACAAATTAAAGTTGAATGATGATAAAACTGAGGCTGTTCTAATTAGATCACCGTTTAACCGCATTCCATGCCCAATAGAGAATATTCTCATTGGTTCCAGCCTTATCCAACTCACTGAGATGGCAAGAAACATCAGGATCGTCTTTGATCATCATCACAGCTTCAAGAAGCACATGTCAGTCTATATATTACGTAAAATTGGTCACATACGACGCTTCCTCTCCAAAAATACATGTACAATAATTATTCATGCATTAATATCTTCAAAACTTGACTACGGCAATTCACTTCCATTTGGACTACCAGAGAACACTACAAAGTCACTACAACATGCCCAGAACACAGCAGCAAGAATTGTGACACACACAAAGAAACTAATTTGCATAATTAAATCAATTTTAAGCTTTCACACTGCATGAGTTGCCATTGGTGCTGTCACAAGTCAATGAAGATTACCTCCTGCCCTGTCTCAGTTATTTATTTATTTTATCATGTGATCGCAGGAATCACACAATGCACTCGCGTCTGGCATATTTACAGCTTTCATCTATTTATTACCAGTACATTTCTGTCCAAGCAACTTTTATCTATTTACTATGTTAAGTCCATGTTGCTATTCTCAAGACTACGCTTTGGTTCCAACAGCTTTTTACCTATTAAATTATTTATTTTATTTATTTTCTATCCATGCAGCTTTTATCCATTTACTACATTTCTGTCAGTGTTTGTTTAGCTCCGCTGTCGTTGTCCGTGTCAATGTTTTACTTTTTCGACTTCTTCTTGAAAACTACAAGCCTGAATGCTTTGCTACTTAGTGTATATGTACCTTGGGTAGACCTCTCTTAGATTTGTTCATTTCATGATGATATCTTCAATTCTCTAATTATGGTGAATATTTTTGTCATTTTTGGTAAAAAGTGATATTTTCAACTTCTTGTTGAAACCGCAAATCCAATTGCTTTGATATTACATATATAGGTACTGCATGTGGACCTCTCTCAGATTTGTTCATTTTGTAATGATATCTTTAATTTTCTAATTTTGGTGAATATTTTTGTCATTTTTGGTAAAAAGTGATATTTTCGACTTTTTGTTAAAAACCGCAAGTCCAATTGCTTTGATATTACATATCAAGGTACTACATGTGGACCTCTCTCAGATTTGTTCAATATATCTTTAATTCTCTAATTTTGGTGAATATTTTTGTAATTTTTGGTAAAAAGTGATATTTTCGACTTCTCGTTAAAAACCGCAAGTCCAATTGCTTTGATATTACATATATAGGTACTGCATGTGGACCTCTCAGATTTGTTCATTTTGTAATGATATCTTTAATTTTCTAATTTTGGTGAATATTTTTGTCATTTTTGGTAAAAAGTGATATTTTCGACTTTTTGTTAAAAACCGCAAGTCCAATTGCTTTGATATTACATATCAAGGTACTACATGTGGACCTCTCTCAGATTTTTTACTTTCCCGGTGATATTTTCAATTATCTAATTTTGATGATTATTTTTGTCATTTTTAGTGAAAAGTGATATTTTTGAATTCTTGATTTTCTAATGATATCTTCTGTTCTTTAATTGAAATGTGCATTGCTAACAGTGGAGCTATCTCAGCCGACAGGCTGCTTGTTTATTTTAATACTACTCAGTCCATGCTGCTATTTTCTGTACCACCTTTTACCTATAATATTTTTAACTACCACCTGAATTACTTTGATACTTGGTGTGTATTGGATGGACTGTCAGATTTGTTCATTTCGTGATATCTACAATTTTTTATTTTTTGTAAAAAATGCCACTATTGAAAACCACCAGTACGATTGCTTTTTGACTTGGTATGTGATGGATCTTTGTCAGATTGTCGTCATTTTGTGCCAATATAATCAATTCTATATTTTTG